TTTCTTGAAAGTGTAATTTATGAGTGGGAGGAAGAGCAAAAGAAATAAAAACGAATATAAGCTGAGAAAATTTTTTCCAGTTAAAATTTCAATACATCATTTTTTTCTGGCGTGTGAAGGTTTTCCGATGATGAATTTTAACACACACACACAGATATATATATATATATATATTTTTTTTTTCTTGAAAGTGTAATTTATGAGTGGGAGGAAGAGCAAAAGAAATAAAAACAAATATAAGCTGAGAAAATTTTTTCCAGTTAAAATTTCAATACATTATTTTTTTCCGGCGTGAGAAGGTTTTCCGATGATGAATTTTCCCCCAAATCTGAGTGTATTTTTCTTTGGCTCATGAATGGATTTTTTTGAGAGTTTAATTTGTGTGTGAAAAGAAAAATGGAAGAAAATGGACAAAGCCTCCGGTGAATGAATATCCGCCGGAATTAGAGAAGAAACGAAAAAAAAGTAAAAGAAAAAAGACAACTAAAACGGAAAAGGAAAAGGAAAAAAAAGTAAGCCAAAATGGTAAAAAATAATAAAAAATAATCTGACTATCACTAAATAATACTATTCTATTTGATATGGACACAAAAAGTTCAATTATCGAACACAATATAGTAAAACGCAAGGATGTTGAGCATAGTTTATTCTATAAACTTCATTTGAAATTGGGAACATTCAATATTACTATTAACAATTTCAATTGGCACAAACCCTCAAATTACGAAATTACTACCCATNTGGGGGGGGGGATTCTTTAATTGAGTTACCTCAAATGAATTAGCAAAGACTATGATGATTCCTTTGTAGCAATTAGCATGACTTAGCAGCAACCGAAGTTGTCTCATTCAAATCAAGTGAAGTGCAATCTTTCTCCTTCTTTGTCGCACGACCTGGTAGTAAGTAGAAGCTTTAATTAAGCCTTAAAACCTAAACTTTGAGACTTAAAAATTAGACCGCTTGGTTGCAACCAAAAGCTTTGAGAGTTGAAGCCCGACTCTTAAATAAACAAAAAGATTGAAGAGCATGAACGGTGGCCCTTCAATTTTGAAGCAACATCACAGAGAGAACGACGAAGTAGAACGAAGGAGGAGAGCATGAATCAGTCTTTTGGTGATTAGGGCTAAGCTCAAAAACACACCTAAGGTGATACGTGTTTGTTACACATTGATTTGGGCGGAAGAACTGATACGGTGACCGTTCAATTTTTGAGATTAGAGAACACGTTTCATTAGATTCTGTCAAAGGTGTAATATGTCAGGTATAAAGTTGATGCTAAATGATTGAATTGCTTTTTTCAATCAAAATTTATTCAGGCTGGACGTGTTAGCGGGACTTTTAAATCTTTTACGTCGCGGTGAGAGAGAAGGCTCACAGGTAGGTAAGAATAAAATACTTCCACTTAGCTTCACAGGAGGACCAAGAAATATGCGTTGTCGATATATGAACGCTATTGCATTAGTGCAGTGTTTTGGAATACCTGATATATTTCTAACTATGACATGCAATCCTTCTTGGCCTGAAATTCAAAAATACTTGTTGTCGACAGATGAGGCCCAAAATAGACCCGACTTAATTAGCTGAATATTTCGAGCAAAACTAGAAGAACTTAAAAAGGATATACTAAAAAGATAAATATTTGGTAAAGTTGCAGCATTTATGTACACATTAGAATTCCAGAAACGGGGACTTCCGCATGCTCATTTTCTTATTATACTCGATGAAAAATACAAACTACTGACTCCTGAGGCATATGATAAATTTGTTTGTGCTGAATTACCGGATCCTAAAAGAAACTCTGATTTATTTAAGCTTGTTACACAACATATGCTACATGGTCCTTGCGGTTAATTAAATCCAACTAGCCCCTATATGAAGAAAAAAAGCGGCAATTGTAAATTTAAGTTTCCAAAAGAATTTGCTGAACAAACAACTAAAGGAAAAAATTCATACCCTATTTATAGAAGACGAAATACAGGAAAATTTGTGGAAATTAGAGGACAACTTTTTGATAATTCATGGGTTATTTCTTGCAATCCATACTTACTTAGTAAATTTAATTGTCATATAAATGTGGAGATTTGCTCTGATATTAAAGTTGTTAAGTACATTTACAAGTATATTTGCAAAGGACATGATAAAATGCATTTCGTATACATCCTAATGATACGAATATAGAAGTAGATGAAATAAAAGAATATCAATCTGCTAGGTGAGTGTCACCACCTGAGGCTGCGTGGCGCATATTTGCTTTTCCTATCAGTGAAATGATTCCAAATGTATACCATCTTCAACTCCATCTTGATGGACAACAAATTGTTTCCTTCAAAAATACAGACAATATTAGTAGAATTGTAAATAATCCTATGATTAAAAAAACAATGTTAACTGAATTTTTTAGAATGAATAGCGAAAACGAAAATGCTATGATTTTGAATTTATTATATTGGGAATTTCCAGAATATTTTGTATGGTCCATAACATACAAAATGTGGTCGCGTCGCCAACAAGGATATGCTATTGGTAGAGTTGTGATATGTCATCCAACCGAAGGAGAAAGATACTATCTTGGATTGCTCTTAATGAACGTAAAGGGGGCCAAAATCATATAAAGATTTGCGAACTGTAAACGGAATAACTTGTCACACGTTTAGAGAAGCTGCCGAAAAAAGAGGATTACTACTTTGCGATAATAATTTAATAGAATGCATGTCAGAAGCAGTAAGTTACCAAATGCCACACAGTTTAAGACACTTATTTGCTGTACTATTAGTTTATTACAATCCCGCTAATCCAAGAGAGTTGTGGGAAAAATTTGAAAGCCCGATGTCTGAAAATTTCAAAAAATACCCAAACATGCATACAAGAGAAATTCGTCACAAAGTACTAAATCATATTAATGATATTCTTCATTCAATGGGTCGTGATATCAACGAATTTGAACTAACTCAAGGCAAAAATTCAACCATCTGCAACAACCAAAGAAGCTAAAGATGTACATTTTGAAAGTAATATTATCGTTAATTACAAGATTTACTATTGCCATATAAGCTAAACATTGCACAAAGAAGAGCTTACAATATAATCATTGATACAATATTTTCAAATAAATCCGAAGCATTCTTCATTGATGGTCCAGGCGGAACTGGAAAAAGCTTTTTATATCGTGCCTTATTAGCTACAGTGAGGCATAGAGGATTTATAGCATTAGAGACTGCGAGTTTAGGTGTTGCTGCTTCAATTCTTCCTGGAGGCCGAACTGCTCATTCCCGATTTAAAATATCTATTGATGTTGATGGAAATTTTAGTTGCAATATTAGTAAACAAAGTTCACTGGCATCATTGATTCGAGATGCAAAACTAATAGTATGGGACGAAATTTCAATGGCGAAAAAAGAAATGATTGAAGCACTAGATTTGCTTCTTAGAGATTTAATGGGAACAA